GACAGATAGAACATCAATGCAATGATTCAGAGCTGCATAACCCTTTATAGCTGACAAAGTACCTCCACAGCCTCCTCTTGGAGGACACAGAACACAGTATTAACATGTGCACCAAGTACGTTTCTCTGGCTACTTTCAGGGAAATTCAGAAAATGGTACACTTTAAATACTTTCCAAAGTACCCCTTTGGCTATTTTTACTTTACCCAGGTAGGAGGTTCATAGATTTAATATACAGTTACATTAAATAAGTAAAATCCTTTATATACTTTTTGAGACACTTCTACATTCATTAGGTGATCTTTTTAAGATTTTATTTATTTTTTGAGAGAGGGGAAGAGGGGGAGAAAGAGAGGAACAGAAACGTCAATGTGAGAGAGAAACATCAATCAGCTGCCTCTCACATGCCCCCAACCCAAGCATGTGTCCTACCTTAGAATCAAACCGGTTACCTTCTGGTTCGCAGGACAATGCCCTGTGCACTGAGCCACACCAGTCACGGCCACTAGCTGATTTAAAGCCAGCCACCCTAAGGGGAAGGCAGATGCTGGGATCATCCCTGTTCGAGGGATAAGGAGACTAGGTCTCAGGACAACTAGCCAAAGTCCAGAGCTAGTGTGTGACGCTGGCTGGACCAGAACCCAGGTATTGTACTTCCCTTTTCACCTACCAGTACCTTCTTCGGGGTGTGAACTCCTGCACTGAGCACCACTCTAGCTTATGCAGGTGTGCCTAGCATCAGCTGGGTCCTGCAGATAAAGAACTGAGCCCGCTGCTCAGGAGGCCCCCTTCCCCCGGGCACTTGGCAGAGATTCTAAAAAAACAAAGCACTGAAACACTAACATGTTCTTTTATTTTTACCTGCTTACTGACAAAAACCTCAACAGAGACAGGAGTTAAGTGAACAATTTCAAAAGTGAAAAAGCATCAAGTTTCTAAAAAGCCAGCATGACAGGAGACATAACCTGTCTGAATTATAGATTTCAATGACACATTGTTTCTAATCACTGGTCATAATGGGACCATCTCTTCAATGACAACTTAATGTGAAACTGCAACATGAGTTACTGACATTCTCAGCTCTTCCCACAGAACACCATCATCAGAGATAAAGTCTTCCTCTGTGTTCACGCTTGGCTACGCAGGGCATGTGCTCCTAAACGTCATACTCACCTTGAGAAAAGCGGTCTGTTGTAAAACCAGAGACTTTCCCAGAACATCAATCTTAGCATGCTTTAAAAGTGTACAATGAATCAAGTGGCAGATTAAAATCAGCTCAGGAACACAGAAGGATGGCACAGCCACATAAAGAGAAGGAGCCAAAGAGCAGAAACAAGTATGTCCCAGTGGTTAACAGACTTAAAGACATGCATTAACATTTCACAATTCTTCATCAGAAGACTAAGGTGTGGTCTTAAACTTCTAATAGGAGGCTTTTATTTCAGTGCTTTTGGGACTCTGTTTCTATTGATCTGATGGCCCCTAAGGGGCTTTGCAACATACGCTTTCTTCCTTTTAACATCTGCATTCTTATGGTTTTGTTATCCCTCTAGTGTTCCATAAAAACACTGTGAAGAACCCTAAGATTAAAATGCAAATATTTTAAATTTGCTTTAACAAGAAGATGAATACATATGACACATTTTGATTTCTGGTTGCTTTCAGGGAAAGCCCAGGGGGAGTAGTACCTGGCAGAGAAACCCAGGTAATTGTTAGGGTAGGTGGGAGCATGCCAGTTCCTCCTAAGTTTCCCCAGTAGATAACTTATCATCCTTCAAAATCTGGCTCACAGCCCTGGCTGGGTAGCTCAGTTGGTTAGTGTTGTCTTGATAAGCCAAGGTTGCAGGTTCCATCTCCAGTCAGGGCACACACAAGAAGCAACCAACCAATGCATAAATAAATGGAACAACAAATCAATATCTCTCTTTCTCTCAAATCAATAAATAAAATAAAAAAAAGAAAGATCCAGCTCACAGCCCCTCAGTCTACACCTCCACCCTAGCTTTGCCTTTCTGCAGTGTGTAACAACAGTCTCTCTCACCAGGTGATGCATGTCTGAGCACTAGGTCTTCGTCTGTGTCTTAGACATCCCGGCACCCAGTCCTCTGGCCCAGAGCCGGGCAGGCAGCCGAGCTCAGGAAACACTGGCCAAATTAGTCAACACGGCTGAAAGGCTCTGCTTTGCAGACATGGTTCTTACTTTACACAAAATACCCCTCAGGGTTTCCTCCCGAAGCGGCCCTCCAGGCGGAGCAGAGTCCATATGCAGCCCACGGGAACATGCGCTGACAGGGGAAATCACCAGAACTCTTAGGTTTTATTTTAAAAATTCACATGTCATTTGTACTCTCCTTCATAAGGGTTCCAGTTTTGTTTTGATACAAAAATGGTTTTAGATTACTTGTAAATTAAATTATTTCCCCCCAAATATAGTTCAGCAAACTGACTGTTCCATATAGCTGTGTGTCTCTTTTTATCCCCCCACCCCAATTTGGAGACCCCTCCATGGGGGTGCATATTTAATGCCCACGAGTCTCATGAGGAACCCCTCCCTCCCATCTCTTCCTTTTTTTCTTTTTTAAGCTGCGACATCATGCCAGGGCAATGGTTCCTGCTCTGCAAAGCTCAGAGATAAGGCATGTCACCAGCACTGTTAAAATTAGTGGTTTCCATGGCCTCAGTCAGTTTGGTTGGGTTTAGGAGACACAAGGTGCCAAGGAATTCACAACAGAATCGCTGTTAACTTTGTACAGGCTGTTCCTGAGGCAAAATTAAGCACGATGCTGTTTCCCCAGGGATAAATTCCATCCTTACAATCCCAACACCAACCTGAGGCCAAAGGAGGTTCATTAGGAGGCAGGCACTTTTAAAGTTTTAAGTGAAAGAACATGGGGCTTGAGGAGACACTTCTCTGTAGAGGGAAGCTTTGGGAGAGGTGGAGGACTGGGGTATGCTTTCACCCCCTCACTCCTCTCACTGTGGGGCACAGCTCCGGGGCCATTTCTAGATGAGCCTTCACATGACAGCGTGTGTCCATGCGTGAAACTGATCACACTCGGTCAAGGAGAATTCCAAAATCTTTCTCCCCTGAAAACAGGCAGGGAGGTTACAGGAAATAAGAAGAAAAGCAGCAGAGATGGAACACGGACTCAGCTGTCTGCTCTGGAAAAGGCAGTGTTGTGAAAAACACAATAAAGGTCTCTTCACTGACTCAGCATTATATGAAGACATCACTTCTCTGACATACAAGCTCGACAAGCTCCGAAAGAGGAAGATAAAGTGAGTGACGAGAAAATTATAAACTCACTTGGAAACAAGTCTACCAACAGTATTTCCTGAGGATGTCTGTGCTCAGTGAGTAACAGGGGCAAACAGGGGCTCTGGGGAGATGGGCACCTCCTGGGCCTTCCCACACTGCAACCAACAGTTATGCTCTCCCAGCTGGAGCTGCTTCTGAGAGAGCTGAGACAGTGCTGGCTCCCTTCCCTGGGGCATGCACTCCCCTTTCTGGGGCATCTGTGGGGTGGTGAGGATGCACAGCTGGACCTAGGGACTCTGGGGCAACCACCACAGGCAGGGCAGAGCCCAAAAACCCCAGGAGTCCCCTTCCTGAGCCAGTAAGCCCTCTCTACAGAGGATGAATCACAGAGCTGAGGTGGTGAACAAAATGTAATTCCAAAAATGGAGACTGAGTGATGAGGACTATGATAAGACCAAAAGACATACATGTGCAAAAGCTGATCATTATTCTGCATTAGAGAAAGATTCTACCAGTTAAGATTAAAAATGTATTAGAGGGAAAATTCTCAGCAGGACAGCAGCAGAAAACCAAACTAATAAATGATCCCAATCTGAAGGATGTAAGAGTTTGAAATTTGTTCAGTATTTATGTGCTAATCTAGACTTCTTCCTCCTTCACAATGAAATCTGAAACATTATCATCAGAAATAATGTAATGGAAATATACATTATTTCAAAGGGCCCAGTTATGTACCAATGCAAATAAAACCATAAAAGATGCCCTTTCCTGGGGGAGACGAGGGCTGGGATTCTTTTTCCTCACTAGTAATCCACTTCTGCACATCAGCAAATGAACATAACTGGCTTCAGGGGAACGTTTCATTAAATTAATAGTGGTTGGCAAGCGTCAGAAACACAGACTCTCACAGACAGACACAGGCAGAAAGAATCACAGTTCAATCCAAAAGCAACACAGAGGGGACACCAGAGTCCACATGCATGCAGAGGAGCTGCGGGGCAGCTGGGGGACACACAGTGCCACCTCACATGAGGCAGCAGAATGTGCAACATGGATCCAACTGCTTACCCACTAAGGACACCAAGAACCAGGTTAAGGACGAAAAATGAGCCAAGGATTATCAGACTAACAAAATACACCCATGGCCATTCCCATCCTATCGCATCATTCACCTGTAAAATGTAAGGAGATCAGTCATCAGTTATCTATTTACTAAAGAGCGGAGCCCCAGGAGCAGGTGCCAGACCACTGGGGGCTTCGATGGAAGATTAGTGCTCCTAGGAAGGACCCCACCTAGGACCTTTCAATTTTTTGCCTTCAACTAAGGACAAGTTCTGTTGTTGCATTCTGTGGCCGACAAAAAGTTGGCCAGGACCAGCTCATTTACCTACTGTTTTGTACCAATTAATCTGCATTATATATTTGGATCCAGACCAATAAAGCAATTATAAATGTTATCTCATTTTAGGATGGAAAAAAGACAAGCAGTGGAAACTATTTAAATCCCAAGCAACAACACTGATTAATTTCTGGTCAATAACTATTCTATAGCTTTCTTTCATAAAAGCTGGTGAGGTTCCAGGAAACATCATGATTCGGGAAGCCTCTGCAGGCAAGAAAGCATCTTGGAGGACGTGCAGAGTGCTTGGCACCCACCCGGCGGCCCCCATCTAACAAAGCCTGTGTGGTCTTGGCAACTGTCCTCGGGACTCTGCTTTCAAGATGAAAGAGGTGTAGCTTACCCGCTCAATACACCAAGTACAAGATTTAGTACGAAAAATGACCCAAAGATGACGAGACTGACAAAATACACCCAGGGCAATTCAAATCCCATAGCATCATTCATCTGTAAGAAATAAGATGGTCTCACAGGAGCGGGTTAATAAGAAAATCTAGTAAGGAGAGAGGATCACATTAGAGACAGCATTCTATACATTTAATGAAACATTTACTTAAATTCAAATTGGAGACAACAGTAGCCAATACATATTCATTCTATATTCCCAACACATGCATGTACACACACAGTTATCACTGTTTTCAGGGCAAGTAAGAGCTAACTTTGGCCACTGGTAGGGAAATCAGCTGGGATTTGGGCTCTTCTTCACAAGAAAGCTGCCTTGATAAGGGATTTTCAGAAAAGGTCTTGGTAGAGGACAAAACTAGTGCTTAGCTGAAAACTATGTTCTCTATCCAAGTTGTTAGTACTATTTTTGCCTTTAAAATTTGTGATGGTGGAAAAGTCATACAGAGATAAATTGGCAACATTTGACTCTATAAATTCAATTCTTAAAAAAAAACTAAAATAATAACTTTCCATTGGAAGCCAAGCTCTCTAAGGAAACCTAACCTAACCTAAATCTGGATTATCCTCAATCAGTAAGTGCAAGCACAGCTAAACTAATGCAAAACAGACAAGTGTTCAGAAGTCAGCTAGCTGACTTACATTCAAGGGCGCCCTTGGGAATGAGATATTTATGACTGCACCATAGGAAGGACCCAGGAGAAGGAAAAAGCCCTTATCCCCCACACCTTTCTCGGATCTAGATGACCCAGCCTTGAAAAGCTGGCTTCATCTTGCCTTCAGCTGTGAGCTGACTGGCTCGTCTGGAAGAACCCCTTGCCCTACTGGTGGTGCAAGCTCAAACAAGGCAGTCAGATATGGCCTCCCCGACAGGCCCAGGAGAGGTTTGGTCATGAGCAGCTTTCATGCCAGGGCACACAGCAGCTTCAAGGTCCATGCCGGATGGGACCTTCCAACAGCGCAGGTCACTGTCAAATTGGGCAAACATTTCTCCCAGGAAGGAGATGTTAAGGATCAGTCAGGGACAGAATGAATGACCCCAGGCCTGGCTGGGCAGGAACTATATATAGCCTGGGCCAATTGGTGGCTTGGGCCTCGCAGGTGCAAGCCCTTAGGCCTTTAAGCATGTGCTTTCCTCCGTGTTGTATGACTCCAGGTTTAGGCTTTACAGAATGAGGCTCATGCATTTCACTGTTTGCCTTATGCAGAAGCCGAACAGGAAAAAAAGGAAAGAAAGAAAGAACATTAAAAAAACCACCTAACATCTGTTGCTGAAGTCTAAGGAAAGGGCATTAAATCCCTTATGAAACACCTGTTTTGGCCACATGAAAACTGATGTGCTTAACAGAACTCATATCAGTCTGCACATCTTACTCTGGCAATCAGAGTAATGAATGAGCCAAGGCCATGGCTGCAATTGTTGATCTAATTAAGCTGGATAAACTAATTTCAGCAGGAAGGCAGAGGGTAATTCTTCCAAAGCAACTACACCCTCAAACTGACTTAAAAACCTGTGTGTGGAGGACAAGAAACAGGCTGCCTAGTATAGTGGCCAGAGCCCAGCCTGGAGTCAGGACCTTCCACAGGGACCTCTCTGTTGGAACAGACGGGCGTGTGACAAGGAAGAGAAAGCTCATGGGATGGGAGATCAATGTTCATGTCCAGGACTCCCACCAGGAGACCTCACTTTTCTACACCTCTGGCAAAGGCAGTGGGCTTGGGAAAGGCTAGAGCTAAACAAAAGCCACAGGAGACTTTCTCTAAATCTGTAGAAGTTGGGGAAGAGAAACAGAACTCAAGCCATAAGGGCCAGTCTTTCTCCCAACTGAGCCTTCTCAACAGTCTCTTTTCAGAGGCTAGTGTTTCTTAGAACTTACTCTATACACAGGACAAGCTGGAACTGGCAAGCTATCCCCCCAAATACCCACATGAAAAGACAGACTGCTTGGGATTTTTTCTGCATGGTCTTTATCAATAATGGAGAAATTGGCATCAGCTGAAGCTTTTCAATTTAATTTTTAAATTTTTATGTCAAAGTCATCATGTGGAGTCACCTGGTGCCCAGGAAATAATATTCTATTGAGTTTCAGTTTTCCCTTACTTCAAAGGTTGAAATGCATACTCATGTTTCCTTCCAATTAAAGGCCAACCTAAGGCTTTCAGTCTTGTCTAACTGTTGAAAACACTACCAGAAATCGGATACTGATTGTAGCTCTCCTGAGCATGGAAAAAGACAAAAGTACAGAAAGGCAAGTCCCTGGCCAACTAGACAGGAATTTCCCAGGGACAGTACCTGGAATGAAGTCAATGATCAACTTGACCATGAGAATGTCCTAATAGGGTCTGAGAGTCAGCACCTCCATAGGAGCTTGGCAATAAGGCAAGAGGCCATAAATTACTTACATGGCTAGCTCTCTCCTGAAACCAATACTATTTTAATTTCTCACATTCAAAAACATTTCCTCTGAGTTAAAGGAAAAAATGGATTATGTGGTCTTGCTCTGTATCTTATAGACAACAAAATTAAAGTGCAAAGAGTTTCAGGGAGCTCCCCAAGGTCCAAACCCAGCCCTGTCCCAGCCTCACTGCTCTTTCCTTTCACTACCTCCTTCTGCCTCTGCGGCCACCAAATACATGTGGATCAGATACAGCTTAGTTATGTTTACAGAACTCAATTTATAAAAGAGCTCTGCAAAGTAACTTTTTTCCACCAGAAGTTAATAATCCCACTCCCTGCACAACCATGTGGATTTGTTCTAAATGAATCTTTCTGCATATTGGGCCCACCTGTTCTTTCCTTCTCAAGGCCGTCTGCCAGGCTCTCTTGAGAGCTGAGGTATCAATGAGCTTTTGAACACCGACTGAATATGACAAGATGCAACACAATCCCTGGCAAGGACTTTGTCCACCATACACAAACACCTAAAGGGCTGAGAAATTTGCTTGCCATCAATATTTAAAATCTAATCTTAGTTACCTCTCAAGACGTTTCCTTGATATCCTAGCTGTGGATAAAAATTGATATTTAAACATGGGTCATCTCTACAGGGGCAATGGGATTATACACTTAAAGAGTAATAGTAAATAGTATTGGCTGAGCACCTGCTCTGTGCCAGGCACTGTGCTGGGCAGGGATGTTATGTCCTGGAACACAGGATGTTATGATCTGTGGCTTCCAGCTGACTGTGGCCCAAAACATATTAAGAAGGCTTGGTGCCTTGGCTCCTGCCTATCTCCATGATGAGTTAATAAAAGCAATCAACAAGTAATTAAAAACAATCTGATGTGTTTCAGAGACTAAGATCTTAGTGAGCACTCTGGAAAACATCACCTCGCTGGCCCCAGGTGTTCTAGAAGGGAGAGAGAGTACTGGATTCCAGTCTAGACCAGGGGTCAGCAAACTGGGACCTGCAGGCCAAACCCACCCTGCCTCCTGCTTTTATACAGCCCTCGACCTAAAAATGGTTTTTACATTTTTAAGTGGTTGAAAAAAAATCAGAAGAATATTTCAAGACACATGAATATTATACAATATTCAAATTTCAGTGCCCATTAAAAAGTTTCACTGGAACAGAGCCACCTCATTTGTCTCCATGTTGTCTATGGCTGCTTCTAGCAACATGGGAGGGGGCAGAACTGAGTAACTGTGACACAGAGGTAATGGCTGCAAGGCCAAATACTTTTATTATCTGGCCCCTTATGAAAGTCCGTAGACCTCCATTCCACATCAAGGACCACAGTCACTTGCTGTAGGACCCTGGGGATGTTCCTTGATATTCCCCTGTTTCCATCTTCAAAATCCCAGGATTTCTATAAAGGGATATGGACTGGGATAGTGTTGATAAATTATGTGGGTCCTCCATCAGAATAAAGATGCCATATATTTCATAGACAATATAATTATTACACTGTCAAATTATTGACTGTCATATTAACAACAGAGATGATACTTAAAGGTTCCAGGCCAGCAAGTGCAGACTTGCTTCAGGGTGCATAGAGTTTTCTCAGCTTTCCTTGCACACTCCCAGAGGTTTCACTTGCTTGACAATAGGACACTGTCATGGGAGGATGCATAGAAATATAATATAAAACATAAAATTGTCCATTAGTCAAGGCATGTTGGATCAGCAATGACAATTCACGAAGACTAGAGAGAACAATGAAGCTGAGAGGAGTCACAGATTTTATTTCTTTGAAAAATCAAAATGTTTTCTGTACTGTTTGGGAGAAGGATCAGAGTTCGGGCTATTTAGATGATGCTTTTTCTATTTATTAGAAATGTCAAGGGAAGACTGGAAGTGAGACCTCAATTAATCTAACTAGGAGTTGCAACTTTTTAGATGTTAATAGTGAAAACAAATCCTCTACTTAATTTGAGGGTCCCCTTGCATGACCATGGTCTTGGCTCATCCATATAATCTCCTTCCTTGTTCCTCCTCATGAAAGGCATTGTCTGACGGATATAAATGACATGTGCACACCCACACAGACACACACGCACCCCTGTGACAGTAAGAAAAAGGAGAGAAAGGGGGAGAAACAAGATGTAACATGCTGGTGATGCCTAAACCTTATTACCAAACTAGACACACAACTTGGGGAATGAAAATAAAAACATATACCTTCTTTGAATATAGGAGCACCTACAATCCTGTAAGCATGGTGTTCACTGGTGAAGGGAAGCAAAAACCTACTTATGACCATTAGACACTATGTTCTCTGAAGCTACAGAGTAACATGAAATCCTGTAAAGTGTCTAAAATTTAGAAGCTACTCTGTCAGAAGCTACTTTTCAATCTGTAGGCCTCCTAACTAGAGACTACCCACATTCAAGAAGTATTTTATTACAAATTACCTTTGAACAAGTCATTATTGGAATCATAGTTAATCCCATCTGGACTTGGGCTTAGGCTCAAAATCTACACGTCAGCCGTTTTTCCCAGTAACTCTGTGGCATGGAAAATAATTTCTAAACATTTGTGAGCTTTTTTCAAATTCTACCAAACAAATAAACAAATTCAGCTCTGGGAAATGGTGATTAAAATTATGGCAAACCCTTCTGGTGCTGTCAGGAACAAGAAGAGCCAGACCCTAGCCATCAAAAGGGTGCCCATCTGTTTTGTCCGTCCTACGACAGGCTGGATGGGTACCCACTCCGTTTCTACCCTCTACGCTAGAGTTCTCTGGCTCCACAGAGAAAGGAAGAGAGAGAGGGCTAAGGGCTTGTGCTAGGCTGATTTATATAATATTGAATATGCAAGGGAAATATTATAATAGGGAAAACCCCATTTTGGCTTTAGGGCTGTGCTAAGTTATAAGAAGCATGAAAGGAATGCAATTTATGTTCCCTATCTGTATGGAATTATGTTCTGTATGGAATTCTAGTAAAGCAACTTGCCTTTATGTGCAAAAGATCAATTTTAGCCCATGGAAGCCTCTAAACCTGGGAGATTACCCCTGGCTCTCTAATAGTTGAATGAGGACAGCCACGGCCTTCTGGGGTTTGTCCAAAAAGGAACTACTGGGCACATTCAGCAAGAACTCCCCAGGCAGTACTGGGGAGCGGAGGGGGCCGACATTATGCATCCTGCTATCTAGAATGGAAACTAAAGCCCTGAGGGGGGGAAGATGAGGAGTCTTGCTGAGTGAAGAGAGGGTCTGCTTCCCTTCCCAAAGAACTGACTTCCAGGGTTTCTTTTTCAGCCAACTCTTCAATGGCTCTAACTAATGCAACATTGTTATCCATAGAAAGAACACTCCATTGGCTCTCTCCTCAAGCGGCTTACCCAGTAGAGCACGTCTGTCCAGCCCTCCATAGTGATGCACTGAAATACAGTGAGCATAGCAAAGGCAAAGTTATCAAAGTTGGTGATGCCTCCATTTGGGCCAACCCAGCCACTCCTACACTCTGTGCCGTTGGCAGTACACTGGCGTCCATTCCCTGAGAACGCACACGGCGCCGGGTCCTCTTCAGCTATGATATCTGCGAACAGAGCAAGAAGGCTTCACTACTCAAGAGATGAGCAGCAGGAAAACCAAGGCCGAGAAAGTCAAGTACCTTGGCCTGGAACGCCCCACCTCCCAGCTCTGCTGTCTCACAATCCTACTTGTCCTCCAAGGTCCACTTCACATAGTCCTTCCTCCAGAGAATCTGCTATTTCCTGGACTCAGAATCACTGCTCTCTCCTCTGGGCTCATTCACAGCATCTTTCTCAAGGCTATATAGAACAACACTAATGATTCGCCTCATGTTCTAGTTTTGGAGGTCCCTCATCTTGTTTGCCAGGACACAGTACATGGGAAATTAGGAGAGAAAAGGAAATTAAATTCTCATTTATTGTCAACACAATTCACATCAGGATCTAGTTCAGTACATTTTCTGGTACATTTGGCTCTTTCTTCCCCCCCTCACTCTTACTTTGTTTTAGATTGTCCCAAAACTACAAAAGTTGTTTGGGAGAAAATTAAAAAATTTTTCTTAAGTTAGGTTAGCTACCATTTTCATTACTTACCTGAGTCAGCAAAAAAACACGTTTTGTGCATTTTTCCAATAAAAAGTTCCAATCCTATAATAGCATAGATTATGATTACAAATAATACCAAAAGGGCTATGTGAAGGAGGGGAACCATGGCTTTTATAATGGAGTTCAGGACAACTTGTAAACCTAGGAGAGAGAGAGAAATAAGTTTATGAGACAGGAAAAAACTTCAGTGATGTACATATATGTCCTAATGGTGCCCACTCTGCATATGACACACAGTAATAAAACTCAGAAATATTTCAAAGCTTTTAATTAGCATTAAATCTGGATGTGGGAAAAGTTAAGAAGAAATTAAAGATCATCTAATCCAACTTCCTCACTTGACAGATGAAATAACTAAGGCCCAGAGAGGAGGCTGTCCAATATCCAAGTCAGTCCTTCATTTGCACATTTGTTCATCCACTCAACAAAATTCCCTGAACATCTTTCATGTGACAAGCATAAAGTTGATGCTTTAGGAGACATGAGGATGTATTATATAAAGGGCATTCCCTCAAAGAGATTGTGTTCTAGGAGACACAAGAATTAAGCACAAATTAAAGGTAGCTATCAGATGCTGCGTGAGTAACATCAGTTACAATTAAAGAGGGATAAAAACATCACTTCTGAGTGGAGAGAATAGAGAGGACAAGGCAGCAGCCTCTCTCTTGGCAGGGCTAAGGAGGGCGGATTGCCACAGGTGGGCAGGGGAGAGGCTACACCAGGCAGAGGCAAGAGAGCTCCAAAAGTACAGAAGCAAAGCAGCACATTATGGGCTGAGGGTGGGGAGCCTTGGCTGGTGGGCACACTGTGGAAAAGAATATCAGGAGGAAAAAGCAGATTGCAGTCAGGTGGCTCCAGGTTTTGAATCTGGGTTACAGGGCCAGATTTTGGTCCACGAGCAAAAAAAAGCAGCCTCTTTAGAACTACGAACAGGGCAGCAGCAGATAAGACCAGTGGAGGAGACCGGAAGTCAGCAACTGAGTCTGAGGGAGAAGAATGTACCCATAAGTCAGGGCCACGGGGGCAAATCTTAGTGTCTGGACAAATAAAAAGCATGTCAAAAGGAGTCTCTCCCAGAATGAGGGAGGTAGGAGACGGGCAAAGGAAGGAGGCGATGAGAACCACCTTAGACCCAGTGAGTTTGATCATCTGTATAGCATTAAGAGGGAAGCATCCTACAGCTGAATAACCACCCCCCCACCCCGCCCCACTTGAGAGATAAGGAAGGAACATGAAAACCTGGAAACTATCCATGGAATAATACTCAGAGCCATGGTACAGGAAGAAAAAAAGATAATGGAAACAAGGATAGTGGGTGGGGCAACACTCAGGATTAGGGTTGGGACTGGGTGGAAGAAGGCAGAAGACCAGGGAACACTGACGGGCAGGAAGCCAGAAGTCACACCAGCACCTCACTCCCATGTTTAGCGTCTTTCCTGCATTCTTTCCACCACCCCACAGCCACAGCTTCTGCTCGGCATAGTTCACGCTTTTCCTCTATCTCTGTCCTCTTTCCCTTCCCCTCCCTAACTCTTCCCCACTGTCACACCCTTATTCAAACTGCCCTCTTCTAATATCTTCTCACTCTTGCAATACATATTCAAAAAATGAAACAATATAAGCTGAGATGCTGGAGTTAAATAAGTTAGAAATCAGAATGCAGCAAGTTGAGAGAAGAATACTTACGAGCCATGGTAAGGAAGACAAGGAAGAGGTGCAGACTGCATGGGGAGGGAAGACTGAGGAAAGGATTTCAGACTCACAAAGAGCCCATCTTTCCAAGTCCCTCATTATGACCAAAATCTTAGGTTCTGACTTCAGATATTTAAATGCCCAAATGGTTTCTTTTGAAAAACAATGATCAATAAGATGATTGTTAAGGTTTTTACCCTCTAGAAAGAACAGATGCGGGGGGGAGACATCTGCTTTAATCTACTTGGACAGGGTTTTTTTTTTCGTTTATTTTTTAGACATGGATAGGTCATCCAAAATAACCATTCAGCAGTTAGCTCTTCTAAAGTCTATGGCAGTGAGCCATATGTTTCATGAACATACTTAGGTTTCTCCTATATTTTACGTTGGCCAAGTTTATGAGATAATGAAGTTTGTATCTTTTTTTTTTAATCCTCACCTGTTTGTGTTTTTTCATTGATTTTAGAGAAACAGAAGAGGGGGTGGGGGATAGAAAGAGGCATGATGTGAGATTGCCTCCCATTCAAGCCCTGTCTGGGGCTTGAACCTGCAACCTACATATATGCCCTGCCCGGGAATTGAACACACAAACTTTTGGTGTATGGCATAATGCTCCGACCAACAAAGCCACCCAGCCAGGGCATGAAAATATATCTTAATGTGAATTGCACACTTTCACGACATTAGGCTCCTTTGTATAACGTCAATGTGTGCTCATACAGATCCCACAGGGCACTGATACAGAGGCAGAAGGATGAAGTAGAAAGAACACTGGGCCAGGAACTAGGAGACTGTGGGTGTGGCCCAGTTTGGTCACCCACTAACTGTGGGAACCTGCCCAGGTCAATACCCCTTGACAGGCCTTAGCTTCCCAATCTAAAAGGTGATGCTGTTGGATGGACTGTTTTGTAGGATTCTTTTCCACTTTGACAGTCTAGGATTCCAGTACACACTTATCAGTTAACTGAGTATGGGTGGTAAGAACTCTGAAAATGTCTGAACTATCATACTATCTTTTGAAACATGCATTTTTTTTACCTTCCACTTCAATGAATATATATATTCACATGCACACAAAACATCCTGCCTTATAGGACAGTCTCAACTCTCTTTAGAAATGACTAGACAATTCCCAGATAAGTGTAAACAGTCAACCTTTCCCAGGCATTTTTAATAATTTCAGGTACTTGAGAAGAAACCACTGGGCCACAGTCGCCAACCCCCATGGAAAAGAGCATGACCCAGAGCCCCAAACCCCTCTCCCCAAAGCCCATGTGGGCCTGATGAGAGACGTGTTCCCTCCCAGGGCAGTTAAAATACGGGCTGAAAGTCCTCACACAAGACTCATATCCCTATTTCTCCTTGCTGACCCATGGGAGAACGTGATGCAGACCTCGGTCAAGTTTCAAAGTGATCTTTTAGGTGGGAGGAAGAAATACAGTTTAAAACTGGTTCTCAAGAGGATCCAGGCACACAGGACTAGTCATTTAGTGACAACCTCGTAAGACAAGGGAGCCAAAGCAACTCCATGTGAGGTCTGAGTTTTCGGCACCCAGACTCGCACTCCTGAGGCCTCAGCACCTAGGAGTCTGCTCACAGCACAATGGATGCTGGTTGTCCTGTCATTTGCTCTTTTGGGAGTGTGTGTGTGCGGGGTGGGGGAGGGGGTTGTCGTGGTTACTTTGAAATTAGATTAAGCTGTAACAACTAAATCTGAAAGAATATGTTTTTCACTGGACCTCTCGTGCAACCACATTACACATAACAGAGCCAGTCATTTCCAAGGTATTTCTATTTTTCTCAATTGCTTCCAGACAGTTTGCGGTTTTGACTTGCACTGATCTTTTTCAGTGAAAATAAATGAACCATCTGGAAAAACAAGTACACATAAAACACCACTTCCTACATTTTAAAATGTTAAATTTGGAAATCTTTTTTTCTTCCAGAGAATTTCTGGTGCCTTCTGAGCACCAACACATTTAATAAAAACTCACAAAGAATTTCTGGAGGAGCAAAACCATGATCTGTGCTCTTCTGATGGCTTTCTGAGTTGTGCAAGACAGGTACGCCCTGCAGTCCCACATCCTTCCTCCAGCTCGAAGCAAGCAGGCAGCCACCTCACAACAGCCCCTGGAAAGGTGCTAGAATATCTACCCTCTGAAGTCCCCAACAGAGGGTATCCTATCAGGGACAGAGCCCAGTGAAGCACCCCATGCTGCTCATAGAAGCATCAGTTTGCCACTCCTGGCCAGGGCACAGACAGGACATTTGCTCCCAAGTGGCACTCATCCTGGCCTGGAGGTCTGCAGCAAGAAGACACTAGGACCTGGCACAGACAGGTGTCACGGCCAAGTGGGTGATGATACATCTCTCACCCAAGGGTCTCCTCTGTGCTCCGGCCCTTGTGCTGGGGCTCTCCCTGCAGTATCTCCTTCAGTCTTCAAACCACCTTCGAGCAGGTACCACTATGCCCTACATGTAGGGGAGGGCACAAAAGCATTCACGTCTTCCCCCAGAGAGTGACAGGCACAGTTTCTAAGAGTAGAGAGCTGAGTTTTCTAAAGTCTAGCCCCCTGTTGCTCTCACTTTGAAAAAAGGCAGTGAATTGGGCCCTCCAACACCTTCATCTACATAAGCCACTACTTTCAGTGGGCAGGCCTGTGAGTGGGGGGAGGAGATGGCCGGTGTGCTGTCACAGAAGAAAAACCAGACCAGAATCAGGATTACTCAAGGCCTCATGACACCACTTACTCCATCTCTCTGCAAGAGAGGACTGTCCCTTTTACGAAATCAGGAAGGCTCATCACTGCCAGTCCCTCTGAGGGCTCTCAGATCAAAGTGACAACATAAGTCAAAGTGTACTGCAAAATGCAAAGGCCTCCAAGGTCGTCTGCAGAGCCCCAGCTGGTACACAGCAACTCACCTTGTAGCACCCCATTTCGTAATCCTGAGACCCACCCAGAAGGAAAAAATCAACAAAATCCTGGCTTTAGGAAACAAAACGTGCTTACTGGGCACTCCCGATACTAGTCGAAGTGGTCGTAACACTCGAAAGGCGCGGAGGGCTTTGACATCAAAGCCTCCTGATTTGCCACCAGAGTGGTTACCGCCTTCTGTTTCTTTGGTTAATTGTTCCAAAATTACACTAAACAATCTGAAAGAAGAAGAAAAAGGAAGAAATGTTAGAGTTTGTCACCGAGGGAAGCAAAACAGGATGATAATAGTAGTTATTTTTGAACAAAGGCTAATTCCGTGTGGCTGCTGCTTAAATAAAGAGAAAGCAAGGTCAAGGCAAGAATCAGGCTGTGAATCCTGAAAGTCACCCCTATGTCTAGCATGATTTGGGTCAGGGATTGTGCTCCTGTTTCCTTGCCAATGGAACATCCTCAAGCAAGTCAACCCCCACGGGCGAGGGGGCTCACTGGGGGTCCAAGACAACAAATGGAAGTGTGCCAACAGAAATAACAACAATACTCATAACCTCTACCATTTATAAGCACTCACCATGTGCTAGGCACTTAACGTACATTATCCTCATAAATGTTATGTAGTAGGAATTATTAACACCATGTTACACAAGAGGAAACAAATTTCATGAGAACAAGTAACATGCCCAAGCTCACCAAGCTAGTGGCAGAACTTAACATATGAATCCAGGTATGTTGGTCTCACCAGGATGCAGGCTCCACAACAGCAGGGAATTTTAGTCTGTTTGCTCATTTGTTTGTTTAGTCTTTTCAAGCTTAGCACTTAGAACAGTTCCTGATATGTTAGAGGTGCTCACAAACATTTGATGAATAAATCAGTGCATGAATATTGATTTCGAAGTCCCAAATCTTAATTGCTATATTATACACTGCCTCCACCCTCACAGGGATTTTTGCAGAGTGATGTAAACCACAGATGTTAAGGAGCTATGGAAAGGCCAAAGGCAGTAACCTAAGGTATTAATATAGTTATTTTCTCTTTTGAAATGTGAATAACATTGTATCTGGCAGGCACGACAAATTTTTTCCTATTCTCAGAAGGTTTTTCGGATAAAGCTATTTTCAGGCAATCTGCTCATTTGACAGTAACTTTTGCTCTTTCAAATAAACATTTATTCTTTGGAATTGTTGCTTGTTTTTCAGGATAAATATAAATTTGCCCGTTTCAAATAGAATCAACTCTGGCCAATCAGATTGTGGGAGTGATTGGCCCAGGAACAAAGGAAAGGTTTCTAAAGTTTAATTAGCAGCCAAAGCAGAAACTCTGCCCCCCACTGGCATGCCTCTGGATGGCCAAGACACTAAGTCCATAAAATACAGGGTGGTCTGATTTACAGTCCCAATCAGGCAGAGCCCTGTCATTCTGGGGCATTAAAAGACCAGTCATTTGTTTTAATAACACTACAGCAATTAGCAATGAACCCAATGGGGGCGAAGAAGGAAGAAATAAGTCAGGTCTCTACCTTTTCAAAGCTTCAGATAACAGGTTTCTCTTATTAGCATAGTCTTTTTTAATTACTATAAACTCCAGCAGCAAGGCTAAAGTTAAAGGTCTCCCTCCAAAACGAGTTCATAGCTTCACAAAAACAAAGAAAGGGGAAGAAAGAAAACCTCAGACTTTTCTGAAATGCGGCAGCCACAGGAATTTTCATCCCAAAGGGTTAGGAAAGCAATTTATGCAGGTGGTGACTTAAGGTGGTGGCTTTCAAGTACCAGTGTTTGGCAATATATACTTCATGGTCCTTTATCCCCTATTCTTCAGCAATGTCCTTGAAAACAGGTGAATGCTGTCTCTCTCCCATCACAGAGGAGCCTGAGTTGGAGGGGGAAGCTGGCTGCCATTTCCAGACAGTGAGGCGTGGAATGGGTCAGGGCTGGCTTCCCTGCCTAAGAGCTAGGAGGCATTGAAGCAAGTCCTTTGTCTTGCCTTCCCCGGGTTTCAGTTTCCTCTGTAAAATGAGCAAACTGGATTAAATGACCCAGAGCTCCACCCCCTTCCCATTCCAATATTCTGTAATTCCACTCCCTTCACCACCACCTCCAACTAAAAAAATATACCATCTGCCTAAAGAGATAAGAACATGAGGAGAAAGTATTTTATCCTAGATTCTTATTAAAAGTTTACCCCAAGACAGTAGAAAAAAGGTAAGGAGCTACCCAACCTTGCTCAAGCCAGAAGCACCAGAGTAAGAACTGAGCATTCTTATTCACAAACCTTATGTGAAAAGTCTGAATGCTAGAAATATTTGTGTATTGAAAAATTAAAGGTAGGGAATAAAAGTTGGCTCTAATGAAACCTTCCTAGACAGGGAATAATATCAACCCTGGTAGACCCACCGAATCCTCCTGGGCTCACAATATTAACAGTTAACATTTTAGACATATCAGTAACTTTCTTAATGTCTCTGTTATTAGGAATCTTGACAAAAGCAGGTCGTGGCTGACTTGGAACGGAAAATCCATTGGATTGAGATACGGTCTGCAGCTGGAAACTTTAGGGAGTAAGAATCTGATTCAAATGAAAACATCATTTTTCCCTCTTTTAAAAGTTTCTTCCATTCTTTGACTACAATTTAGTGCATATTTTGGAAAAATGATAAAGTTTTTCATATTTAATGAAAAAAATAACAAATCCAGTTTCACTTTAGTTTCCTCGATTTTTTTACTTTTTCAAAAACAATATTATTGCTGCTGATTTATAATAAAATACACCCATTTAAAGCATACAATGATGTTTTGACAAACATATAAGCCCAAGTCAAGAACACCACAGTCAGGATATCCGGCATCTCCCACAGTTCTCTCTTGCCCTGGTGCAGGGTTTCTTCCTCTAAGCACCGCCTTAGGCAGCCACTGATTGGCTGATTATCACTTGGGGTTCCCCCCCCTTTCTTGAATCTTATATAAACAGAATCATAAAGCTTGTTCTCTTTTTTGTTTATCTTCTTTTGCTCACCATGTTTTTGAGAGTCATCCAAGTTGTTACATTTGTCAGAGGTTCATTTATTTTTATTGTTGAGTGATATTCCACTGTATGAATAAACCACAATGAGTTATCCATTCACCTGTTGAGAGACACTTGGATTGCTCCCACTTTTCCTCTATTATGAAATAAATTTTCTTTAGGAACATTTATTTTCCCTTGTCTTCGGTAAGGACCTACTAGTAATACTGGTAATATGGTCATATGGTTAATGTAAGATTAATCGACATTGTAAGAAATTGGCAAACTTTTCCAAAATGACAGTATCATTTTCCATTTCTACAAGCAGTGGATGAGAGTTCCACTTGCTCCATATCTTGCTTAACATTTGGTATTGTCAATCATTTTACATTTAGTAATACTAGTAGGTATGTAGTGGCTGTCCTTGTGGCTTTAATTTGCATTTTTCTAATTACTTTTTTTTAGATTTGCATGTATTTTTAGTTATATATTTTTTAAATATATTTTATTGATTATGCTATTTTATTGATTATTAGTTGTCCCATTTCCCCCTTCACTCCCCTCCACCCTGTACACCCTCTCCCACCCACATCCCCCCCTTTAGTCATGTCCATGTGTCATACTTATAAGTTCTTTAGCTTCTACATTTCCCATACTATTCTTACCCTCCCCCATCTATTTTCAACCTACAATCTATGCTACTTATTCTCTGTACCTTTTCCCCCTCTCTCCTCCTCCCACTCCCCTGTTGCTAACCCTCCATGTGATCTCCATTTCTGTGGTTCTGTTCCTGTTCTACTTGTTTGCTTAGTTTCTTTTGGTTTTCCTTTAGGTGTGGTTGTTCATAATTGTGAGTTTGCTGTCCTTTTACTATACATGTTTTTTTTTAATCTTCTTTTCTTAGGTAAGTCCCTTCAACATTTCATAAACTAAGGGCTTGGTGATGATGAACTCCTTTAACTTGACCTTATCTGAGAAGCACTTTATCTGTCCTTCCATTCTAAATGAAAGCTTTGCTGGATAGAGTAATCTGGGATATAGGTCCTTGTCTTTCATGACTTGGAATAGTTTTTTCGAGCCCCTTCTTGCCTGAAAAGTCTCTTTTGAGAAATCAGCTGACAGTCTGATGGAAACTCCTTTGTAGGTGACTGTCTCCTTATCTCTTGCTGCTTCTAGGATTCTCTCCTTCATTTTTACCTTGGCTAATGTAATTATGATGTGCCTTGGTGTGTTTCTTCTTGGATCCAACTTCTTTGGGACTCTCTGAGCTTCCTGGATTTCCTGGAAGTCTATTTCCTTTGCCAGAGTGGGGACGTTCTCCTTTATTATTTGTTCAAATATGTGTTCAATCTGTTGCTTTTCCTCTTCCCCTTCTGGTACCCCTATAATTCGGATGTTGGAATATTTAAAGATGTCCTGGAGGTTCCTAAACTTCTTGTTTTTTTGAATTCTTATTTCTCCATTCTTGCCTGTTTGGTTGCTTTTTTCTTCCTTCTGATCAACTCTATTGTTTTGAGTCCCAGTTTCCTTCCCATCACTATTGGTTCTCTGTGCATTTTCCTTCATCTCTTTTATGGTAACCTGCATTTTTTTCATCTAATTTGCACCCAAAATCAACCAATTCTGAGAGCTTCCTGATCACCAGTGTTTTGAACTGTGCATCTGATAGATAGGCTATCTCTTGGTTGCTTAAAATGATGAGTCCTGGGGCATTAATCTGTTCTTCTGTTTGAGACATGCCTCTCTTTTGTTGTTGTTGTTTTTTTTGGTCTGGTCGCTCCTGTTACAGTGAGGGGCAGAGCCTTAGGTGTTCACTGGGGCTGGGCACCCTAGTCACTAGTTTGTGACATTGTATGTGGGGGCGGGGCCGGGGGTGGGGGGAACAATGGCGGTAGCTCTGTTCTCCTGGGACCTCAGTCTCTTCCTTAGGATCCTGGGTTGTATGCTCTGCCCTGCTCCACAATCGCCACCTCACTGGGTCTGCCAGCTGCCACTTACGTACTCAGGGTCCACCTGCTGCAATTTTGCATGCCCCAGATGCCTTACGCACCTCCAGTTGCCTTATGCACCCAACTCTCTCTGCTCTCCTCGCCTCAACCCACACCGGCTGCTCATCTCTGCCCCTCCTACCGGTCTGGATGAAGGGGTCTACTTCAACTTCTTGGCTGTCCGACTTCCATTTAGATAAATTCTCTATCAGTTCTGGGTATTATTCTGCCTCTA